GAACTCAGGCACGGAGAGGCTACCTCCTCACCCCACTTCACTGGGTGTGAGGACAGTGGTTTTCGGAGAAGCAGGACTCTTATGCAGTCTTCCTGGGGGCCAAGCCTCATCTATCAGCTCTTCTTTTACTTGCTCTGACACAAAGATGGAATGCAGAGGGTCAGATACATGCAAAATAAAAAACCCACTGCTAATGCCGTCATGAGCGTTTAGCTGTCATGGGACATACTTCTGGCTGCCAAGTTTGCCTCCAGGAGTTTTTCTGCCATGATCCTGATGCCATCTCTGTGGAAGAGCTGACTGTGGACAAGGTGCAATTAGCAAGCTCAGATGGCTATCTTTCAAACAGGCCTTTGCTTTTTCATTCCTGTTCCATTAGTTTTTATCGTGTCACTGGAGCCAGCAGATTACAAGCTGAACATCCTTAGACTACAGCCTGAGAGAAGGCATTTGAGTTTGAACATATCTCTAAGCAGTGGCCTCCTCACAAGTTAGATATGGAAGCTTGTTTAAACACACTGCTACTATCCAGGCCTTTCCAGTACATGCTTCTAGACAAACTCACAGAACTCCAGGATGTTAGAGTTGAAAAAGTCCTAACAGTATCTACCCCTACATCGCACTTGGGTTTCAACATGCCATTGACGCCACTTGAGTAGCAGTGTTGACAAACAGTCTGAGGCCAAGTCTGGGTTTAATGGGAAAGAGATTGCTTAGCAATGTCGGCCTTGGCCAAGAGAGGGGAAGCACCATTATACACACAATGGCCTTTTCCCCTTCTGAATCTAAGCCCTTACTTCACAGATGAGGAATCCAAGCCCAGAGAGGTTAAAACACTTTCCTGAGGTCACACGGTAAGTTTAAGGAAGGAGAGAGAACTAGAACCCAGGCCTCTCTTCCAAGGCCTTCCTCAGCTGGGCTCCTAGAGAGACTGCAAGCCCAGGATAAGAGAAAGCAAGTGGGGAGCAAGATTTGCTCAAGTAAATCAACAACCCTTCCCCTGTGGCATCAGGTTTCAGCCTGGCACCAGGCAGAGAAGTGATTAGCCATCTACAGGATCCCAGCCAGCCCCTCTGTGGGAAATTAAGGAAATCATTCCAAGGTTACATTTCTATGGTACTTAACTTTCCCATTGCTAAGGCTGTGCCACCAGGAAGACTAACAAAGGGGGAAAAGGCATTAATTTCTGGGTGTCCTAGGAATAAAGTTCACAATGAAAAATAAAGATACAGTGAGTAAAAACTCTTGATACTTGAAACTTTAAGTCACTGGTATTCCATTAACCCACCAGTTTCTATCTCATAGTCGCTAGTATCCAATGAAGTCATTTCTCACAAGAGATTACGGCTCAGAAATGGGGAGGAACTGCATTGTATTTCCCAGTATGGGTTTTTCATGGCCAGTTCCCAAGTCCGGAATGTGAAACAGACTGGAGAATCAAACCAAGATGTTAAGCAGATGGGGGCGAGGAATGAGAGGGAACCCCAAATTAAAATGAAGATGGCTTCAAGACTGGCTTTTCTTGCTTGGTATTGCAGCTTTCACAGCAGCCAGCTGAGCTGTCTGACCAGATGGATTTGGAAATCCTAAAAGCATTTCTGTGTCCTTTATAAATCAGCTGCCCTATCCAGCACCCTCTGGAGCCAGTGTGACAGTTGTATAGACTTAAGTTCTAGCAGATGATAAATGCTCTTAATTTAAAACTCTGTATTCTTCAATCCAGTGGAGAAATCAAGGAGTTAAAGGACCGCTCAAACAACAGTGCATTTGTTACCCTCAAAGAAACTTCTCTCACACCACAAGGAATATATTTTTCATTTGGATAAAGTCCTGTCAGACTTCCCTCCCGAACCTCTGCAGTTATTTCTTCCGGAAAGATCAACGAGGTGCCCTGGGATCACGCTCAACCATTACGGAGTGACAGGCTGAGCTCAGAACCGGTCAACCCTGTCGAATAGAAGCTCCGTGTGCTCAAGAGGCCAGATCTCCCAGACAGCAGTCTGGCTGTCCGTGCGCATCCCGGGACTCTGGGATGAGGGGCAGAGCACCGTCCCTGTGAGAAGTCAGCCTCTTCCCTCGAGGCCAGCTGACATTCAAACACAGGACCGGGGGCCAAGCCCAGCGCTGTGCATCTGCAGGAGAGCGGAACAAACAGGGGACTGTGTGGAAATTTGGCAGCGTGTTCCTGAAAGGCAGAGGATGAATGCAGAATCCTATAGCACCTAGAGGAGCTTGTCATTGGGGAAACAGCTCCATTCTGCTGCTCCCAGGGAGCCAAGACATTTCCTTTAAAGCAAGGATAATCAGTTGGCACCCGCTACCACCACCTCCAGACTCCATTCACCACTTCCTCCTCCTCCTCCTCTTCATGATATTGCAGAGCAAAAGAAATGAACGAGAACTAGACCTTCCCAGATGTGCTTGTCTGTCCATTTCAGTTACGGGCTTTGAGCAGCGCCCAGCTGTTGCTTCCCTCTCTCTCTGCCCAAAAAGCTGCCTCCCTCCATCAATTCCCTGTTGCACAAGTGAGTAATTTACTTTGAAAGTTCAGGCCAAACTGGCAGTTAACCTTGACCTTCTCTCTACACATCTGGGACTATAGAAAATGAGAATCAGGATGTCTGCCATCCACAGCAAATGAAATACGAGGGCTTTCTCCAGGCAGAGGCAGAATGTTGTGAGCTATTTTAGAACCGGCCAGAGCTATTGCAAAGGAGAGTTTGCACTTGGGCAGGGCAGTCTCCTCCATGACCCGGGGCTAAGTCCAGTATGGTGCCCCCACAGCTAAGGATGCTACAAGGGGCTCCTGCCACAGGGAAAAAAAAGTGGTCAATGTACTCCTCATTGATTCATTGACGGTATTACAGAATGGTGGAGCTAGACCAATAAGCACATTTCACATGAGGAGGAAGGGAGGCTCAGAGATGGACCTGAGAGGTGATCAAGGACATACACAGCAAGTTAATGGTAGGGCAGAGCCATTAACCCTGACCTCCTAACCCTGGCCCAGGATGGGAACAGAAGAAAGACTTCACTAAGCAAACACCCACAGGAATACAGAATTTAAGGGAGAGGGGTCTAAGGGGTCAAGGTTTGTGCCAGGGATTTAGGAAAGGAGTTAGGGCCCTTCGTGTCCCAACAGTAAGCTCTACCAGAAAGATCAACCAGGCCCTGCAGGATGGTTTACAACAATTACCGAGCGACAGGCTACACTCAAAATTGGCCAGTTCTGTCACAAAGAGCCCCGCTCGAGATGCCACTCTCACTACCCAGACAGCAGCCTGATACTGGGAAGTGAAAGGGAAACCATCAGCTTCAAAAGTCAGCTTCTTCACTCATCCTGCCAACAACCAGTCAAATTTGACCCTGCTGCACAAATCATCCGCTTCCCATGGAACAAGGAAACCCCTTCACAAACCTGAACTATCCCACCGTGTGAAACATTTGTCAAGATGCATTCGCTCACTGTCAGCTACCAAGTCAGGGGCTGGAAGGCTTGGAGCGAACTGACAGGGCTTCTGCTATCAGTCTAAAGTATGTGTGACACACAGCATACACACATACACATGCATACACATACATACACACACACACACACACACGCATACATGGGTGAGTTCAGAGGAGGCAGACCAATTAAAATCCTAGTCGATGCTGCAAAAAACAGCACACCTTATGAGTCTGAACAAGTTCAGGGGGGTCATGGTACTCTGAGAAGGGACAAGGAAGGCAGATGATATTCCATCTTCTGGGCACCCGGCACAAATAGCCTCTGGGAAATTTGGGGGGTCGCGCTACCAGAGCCCCCACTTCTGGACCCTCAGAAGGTCAAAAAAAACAGCAGGCCCCTCAAGGACCAGGAGGTCACCCCCTTCCCCATCCCTAGGGGCTGAAGCTCCAAGGGGAGCATGATCTTTGCATCCTCCGAGGAACCCACATGATCTGGAGGGGGAATGAGCAAATAGGGAGAGGTGAGAGGCCCACCGCCTAACAGATGGGAACACAGGAAAGGGGCTGACCTGAGTAGGGAACACCGGGATCAGCAGGTGGGGGAGGCGGGGAGGGGGGATTAGAAAAGACCTGACAACATCTAGAACAGCGGTTCTCAACCTGTGGGTCGCGACCCCTTTGGCGGTCGAATGACCCTTTCACAGGGGTCGCCTAAGATGATCCTGCATATCAGATATTTACATGACGATTCATAACAGTAGCAACATAACAGTTGTGAAGTAGCAACGAAAATAATTTTATGGTTGGGTCACAACATGAGGAACTGTATTTAAAGGGCCAGAAGGTTGAGAACCACTGATCTAGAAGTCCCGGGATCTCCAGGAGTGATCCTGGGATGCGGCATGCCGACAGGATCCTCCAAAAGAGAGATGCTGGAAGGGGCGAGAGGGTACCCACACACGGGCAGAAAGAAGGACGGGAACCTACGGTAAGAACCAGACGTCCAGACTGGGCATCAGGATTCCTGGTTTCCAGTTCTGGTTCTGCCTCTGACGGGCGCGGGATCCTGGACAAGTCCCTGTCCTTCTCTGAACCTCAATCTCCCATCCAAAAAAATGGAAAGAAGAGAAGTGTCTCCGGCGCTGACGCTGAGAAGGCAGGGGAAGGGGAAGGAAGGAACCGAATGCTAGAAGTAAATTAGGGGAGAAAGTGTTCCCAACCCCCAAACATCTGGAGGACTCACCTGTCCGGCCGCCGGGGCCACCGCAGCCCCAGGTC